TGCTCTGGTCAGATGAAACCTAAATCGAACTTTTTGGCAACAATGCAAAATGTTATGTTTGGCGTAAAAGCAACACAGCTCATCACCCCGAACACACCATCTCCACTGTCAAACATGGTGGTGGCAGCATCCTGGTTTGGGCCTGCTTTTCTTCAGCAGGGACCGGGAAGATGGTTAAAATTGATGGGAAGATGGCTGGAGCCAAATACAGGACCATTCTGGAAGGAAACCTGATGGAGTCTGCAAAAGACCTGAGACTGGGACGGAGATTTGTCTTCCCACAAGACAATGATCCAAAACATAAAGCAAAATCTACAATGGAATGGTTCACAAATACACATATCCAGGTGTTAGAATGGCCAAGTCAAAGTCCAGACCTGAATCCAATCGAGAATCTGTGGGAAGAACTGAAAACTGCTGTTCACAAACGCTCTCTATCCAACCTCACTGAGCTCGAGCTGTTTTGCAAGGCGGAATGGGCAAAAATTTCAGTCTCTTGATGTGCAAAACTGATAGAGACATACCCCAAGTGACTTACAGCTGTAATCGCAGCAAAAGGTGGCGCTACAAAGTATTAACTTAAGGGGGCTGAATAATTTTGCACGCCCAATTTTTCAGTTTTTTATTTGTTAAAAAAGTTTGAAATATCCAATAAATTTCGTTCCACTTCATGATTGTGTCCCACTTGTTGTTGATTCTTCACAACAACTTACAGTTTTATATCTTTATGTTTGAAGCCTGAAATGTGGCAAAAGGTCGCAAAGTTCGAGGGGGCCGAATACTTTCGCAAGGCACTGTATATCTGAAACCCATTCAGACCACTGAGACTTTGAACTGTCTTGGCCTGAGCCTCTCAGCAAACATTTGGCCATGTCTGTAGCTCTAATGTAATTCTGAACATTTGTGAGATATAAAGGTGCCCAGTTCTCATGGTCTATTTGCTATAGAATTCTGAGGGCACATGAAAGATGCACGTGTGGGCGACAGGAGGCAGAACTCCAACCACCATTTCACATCTATCTATACAAACGGTGTGATCTCTCACATTGGCTTGAAGAATACAGTATGACAGCTTTATGGTAAATTAGGACTTTTATCAACCCACTCTTGTGCCACAACATTTTTTACCAAGTTCACTTCTGTATGCAAACTTGCAGGGCACACAGCTTGTTTAGTGCATGGTCTACTTTGAAGGATGTGTTGACTAATGGCTGTAACCTCTTCACTGTATTCGCTCACCAGTGTCAATGTACTTTGAGTCCAGCGGAGTCCCAATGGAGTTGCACAGAATCAGAATATACTGAAAAACACAAAGTAGAACAAAGTTTCCTACAGGTCAATTTGTGATAAACAAATAGTCCTCATTTTAGGAGTGGTTTGTATTTGTACATTACCCGTGCATGGCTTCCCAACTCTAACTCAGAATCCTCCTGTGAGGCAATGAATCAAAAAACAGGGAGCAAGACCGGAAAAAAAAAATTTGTCATCTTTCTTATTATGGTTCAGTTTCTACTAATATGTCTTACAAGTTTATTCAGTATAGTAATAATTTTGTTTTAGTCATACAGTGTAGTAAATTGTGCATCAAGATGACCTCCAATATTTTATAGATTACAGATGCTGTTGTTTTGCTTTCCTCTCACTGTTGATATGTAAGAATGTATTCGTACCTGAGGCTGAGTGTCATCTGCCTTGCTGGCCAGAATGCAGAAGTCGCCTGAGGTAGTGATGGACATTAAGCTCTTGACATATTTCACATGCTTCTCATTGTTTTTGGTGTCCCAGAATACCACGCAGTACTCCTGCCTCTCTGGCTTTGTGTAGGCGTACACCACTGTGCTGCAACAGTAGCCCCACTGTTAAGAAAGATGAAAGCGTGGCAAGATTGGGAAAACCTCTGTTGTTAACTTTTCTCTTTTCTGCCCTTATAAACACCCTGGGAACTTAAAGCTGCCAACATTTTTTTCCTCATGCTAAATTAATAATTTCTGTAACAAAAATTAAAGAATAGTTTCTTATACTTTCAGAAGTATTTTAATTAAGAGTGTTTTGGACTGTGTGTGTCACAGGTGTTGCCATTTACTTTATAGTCTGGTCTTATGTTGGCAAAATAGATGTAGTAGTCCACGGCCAGGCCAATACGTAGCCCTCCTCCCTCCCAAGCAACTCCTGTCATCTGGTTCCCAGGAACTTTGAGAGTTCTCAGATGCTGTTTTAACAGTGGGCAAATGTAACACTTTTACTAACAATTAATCAATTTATTTATTTAACTAACAATTGCAATTGCTTAACAATCAAACAGTGTAACAACCAAGAAACTAGCTTGCAAGGTACTGTATTTCATTTTAAAATCAATAAAAACCAACTAACAGGTGTTAATAGCACATCAAGTCTATATTGCATATGATACTAACAGGTACACAACATGAGAGTTGATCTGCCTGAGCTTCATGTCAAAAATCCTACATAAGGGAACAAACTCTTCACCCTCACCTCTCCAAATGGTGTATAGAACTGCACCACATTAATCTCTTTCTCCATATTTGAAGCTCTGAGGGAACCGGCCACTGCCAGCACACTGCCACAGTGATTCCACTGGATACTGACCACATTCATCAATGTGTCAATACACACTGGGTCTGCAAAAAACAGGCAGCAGCATAGCATGGCACCATTACTGAACATGTCTCTGAATATACTGGAACTTTTGGTAGATGCTTTTGTTTTGCTTACTTTCATCATTCTCATAGCGCATGATCTGGCATCTTCCATTGTCAAAACAGATAGCAAGACACGGACAGTCTGGCTCAACATAACCCCCAGTTCCTGCATACCAGTGGATACCTGCTATACTAACAGGGCCAGTTGCATTGGTGAGGCAGCTGATGGTCATTTTCATCTGAAACATAACAGAAATTATAAAAAGTCAACATATGCTAATAAATGATCAGGATACAATGAGATCTGATGTGCTTAGGCATTTGTTTACAGGACAGCAAATCCATTAGGTCAATCAGATTATTTATTTTCATTCATTTCATGTGGGTGCAGTGTGTCAATACTATGAGTCACTAAACTAAACTAACATTTTTTACACCTACACAGAGGCTTTCCCCACTTTGGGGCGGTCTTGTATTCCTTCCTTCAAGCTCAGGTCCTCTACCAGAGGCCTGGGAGCTTGAGGGTCCTGCGCAGTATCTTAGCTGTTCCTAGCACTGCACTCTTCTGGACAGAGATCTCAGATATTGTTCCTGGTATCTGTTGGAGCCACCCTCCCAGTTTGGGGGTCACAGCCCCCAACGTTCCTATTACCACAGGGACCACTTGTGCCTTCACCTTCCACATCTTTTCTAGCTCTTCTTTCAGCCCTTGGTATTTCTCAAGCTTCTTGTGTTCCCTCTTCCTGATGTTGCTATCGCTTGGGATTGCTACATCTATCACTATGGCCTCTGAGGGTTTGAGAAGCACAATAGTGGAAAAGCCTGGACTGTCTCAAGGCTATGTCTCCAGAGATCTGGCTGTTCTTGTGTAGATGAAACTAACCACACAGCGCAACAGAAAATAGCCAAATCTGACCCATTACACACAGAGCTCCAAAAATGGACTGGACAGAATTATAGCCACCCTCAGCTTAATATTTGGTAACACACCCTTTGGATAAAATAACTGAAATCTCTAGTGGAGTTTTGGACCCCTCTTCTTTTGCCAACTGCTCCATGTCTCTCAGATTTGAAGGTTTCCTTCTCCCAGCTGCTGTTCTGAGATGTCTCCACAGCTGCTTTATGGGATTTAGATCTGGATTCGTTGCTGGCCACTTCAGAACTCTCCAGCTCATTGACTGAAACCATTTCTGGTGCTTTTTGAAGTCTGCTTTGGGTCATTGTCCTGCTGTAAGACTCATGAACTCTGACGGAGACCCAACTTTCTATGCACCCCAAATTCATTGGTCGTCTTCAGGTTTCATAATGTCATACACACAGTTAAGGATAGTGTGAGCTGACACTGTTGTACCGTGTGCCTGCAGATCAGCTTGAATTTATATGGAAGTTGATGGAGGTGAAGTAAAAGAACTAAACATGAGAACACCAAAGAATTTGGGATTGTAACAATTTTCTGGGAGAAGTGGTGCCTTATCTGATAGAAACCTGCTCTGTTTCCATGTATGCTAAAAGCCTGCATCTATGACAACAATGTTGCCACTTCCTCTGTAGACTCGAGTCTGCACTGCATCTGCATTTCTATTTGTAAAATTAGCACCCAGTGCCATGCATCTCTGTAATGAAATGAAGGGAAATTTCTTATTGACTTAGGGTTATGCACTCACTATGAAGTTTCCTTGATTGTCATAAATTTGTACTTCCCCACTGGCCATGCCAAAGAGGAGGATCTTGCTGTCTGGCGACCATGCCACATGTGCAAGCTGATTTCCCTTTAGCTCCTTTCCCCAAATCCGATTACCTACCAAAACAAGGCTGTGTGTTAGCTGTTTATTAGCCCATTATGTAAACAAAGCAAATCTTGTCAAAAGAGCCATTATTGATTTTAGGATAAATCTGCTGGGAAAGTATTTTGTTACAGTAGATTTTATCACACTCTGCCTCTGTTATTACCATCTACAGATCCAACAATGACTGCTCCATCCTCATACACAATGCAGATCTTCTGCCCATCAGCATTCCAGCTCATGCTCCTCACCACTGACTTGTTCCTGTTGTTTATCATCTCCTCGTACCACACACCTTAGGAAGGAACAAAAACAAAAAAGTTTATAAGGCTAATTTATGACAAGACAGATTGTGTTTGCAGTTTAATTTGCACCTTTGTAGAGCATCCAAACAATGATGAGTCCATTCTGGTCACTGGTTGTCAACTTCTCATACTGTTCATTCCACGTGACCACTTGTACTGCACCTGCAAGTACAATAATTGTGGCGTGTAAGACAATTTTTCTACAGCTCGATTGAGATCTTTGCATTTTTCAAACTGACACAACTTCCCTTTTGTAGACATGAGTTGTTTGTAACATACTATAGTAACTCCAGGTTTGACAATGACTAAATCTAACTTACCACTGTGACCCTCCAGAGTCTGGTTCATTGAGAGATTACTGGGTGCAGCAAGACCTTTAAGTTTGGCATCATCTATTCACAAAGTGAAAGAGAACAGCAAATAATTAATAGCAAGTAACTGTCAAGAGTAAACTATACAGTATATAAGTCTGACACTCACTGTAGTTTATAGGTAAATGGTCTAGCGATATAGCGCTTTTCTATGCATTACAGAATACTCCAAGCTCTTTCACGCTGTTTGGGCATTCACCCATTCGCACTTCAAAGCACTCTTCTGGGAGACAGTTCTATGGACTGATGAAACCAAAGTGAAACGTTTTGGACATATGGACCAGCGGTATGTCTGGCGTGTAAAAGGCCAAGCTTATGACCAGAAGAATACCATCCCCACAGTCAAGCATGGAGGTGAGTCATTGATGATGTGCGGCTGTTTTTCTGCAGCAGGAACTGGCAATCTTGATCGTGTACCTGGCATCATGGATTCCCAGAAACACCAGGCCATTTTAAAGAAAAACATGATGCCTTCTGTTGACAAATTAAACCTTGGTGATCATTGGATTTTCCAGCAAGACAATGATCCCAAGCACACCTCCAAGTCAACCAAAGCTTGGTTGAGAAAAAGATCCGGGAACATCCTGGAGTTTAATCCAATTGAAAATCTTTGGTGGGATTTGAAGAAGGCAGTTGCAGCCATCAAACATCACTGAGCTAGAGGTTTTTGCACATGAAGAATGGGCAAAGATTCCGATTGAAAGGTGTAAGAAAATGTTTGTTACAAGTTATAAAAGCTAAAGGATGCTCCACAAAGTGCTGAAACTGGGGGTTGAATAATACTGCACATGCTCATGTGTTACAAGAGTTACATTTTTCGTTTGAACTACAAAGTTAAGTCAACTTCTGTTGTCAAAATAACTCAAATATGTATCAATATATATATTTAGTTATTTAATGAGGTATTTTTTGTCATTATCTTTCATCAACATCACTATAATGTCTTTTGAGGTGAGGGGGTTGAATATTTCTGACCGTAACTGTAAGTGTTACTATTATGTTATTAGGTCTTCAATCTTTTAAACTAAAAAGGAACTTTAACAACTTAGTGTTAAAAGATTTCTCAGCGCTACAGGTAACAACATGTGGACGCTGCAACAGTACTTTAGTGATTTTATCTGGGTCCTTTTATGTTCAGAATATATCACAGTTATTCAGTGTTAAGGATTTCAAATGTCAAACAACGCATATATGTGTACTGCATTGAACATTCCATGTTTTAATAGTTGTGAACAATGTGTTTATCATTATCTATGATTATCACAAATTGTTTGAACCCCTCCCCTGGACTGACTGGACCTCTGACCGGACCTTGTGCCCAAGACTGACTGGCGCTTCTGACAATCTTCTTATTTAATACTTTATCTATTCCATTGCAGGAGGAGTGATTCTGTTCTCTGTTCCCTAACTACCAGATGGCTTAGTTAACTACTACTCTGTTCAGAATAATTGTAATATTAAATGATTATTTAAGTTGGGATGATTTGTCTGAATTTAGTCTGTATTACACTCTAGCCAAGACAACAGCAATGACCCAAAGCAGACTTCAAAACGACAACAGCAATGACCCAAAGCAGGTTATTAGTTTTGTACCCTGAACTTACCTGCCTGAGTTTCAAGCTTGAGTACTCTCAGGAGACCGTTGTCACCTCCACAAGCAATAAAGCCTTGATCTTTGTTCCAGGAGACACATTTTAGATGAATACTGTTTGGAACAGCAATCTACAAAATAAAGAAGATAGGAGTCACACTGTTAACAAGGCTGTTTTAACTGGCGACGCCACCTATCAATAAAGTGACAAGGAAGGTGGCTGAGCACAGGAGCGTGTCCTAGGCACTCACCTTCTTGCTGAGGTATATAAACATGGCGGTGGTGATAGTTTCACCGAATTCTATGCTCAGTCCGAAATGAACAGCTTACAACGTAACGTCAGCTATACTGGTTAATATAACAAGACACCAAATGAACGTCAAATTACACAAGCTATACTGAGCTAACTTTCACAACCGAGCGCCATTATACCGTTAGCTTTGCTAGTTAAATGCCTAACTAGTGCCGAACTTTAACGTTAAATGCAGCCACACAAATTGATGCAGTTATGGTGAATAGCGTTAACAAATGCAATGAGACAAAAACAACCAAAACTCGACATTCCACTGTTCCTGTTAACAGACTCCACAAAGCTCCAGCTCCCATGGTAACACTAAACCGGAAGCGCTAGGATTGGGGTCTTCTGGTAGTTGTAGTTTTTGCAGTGTTTCAGCGAATACATAGCCTCAAAAGGGATGCTAAAGTTCCATATTTTGTGACAAAATATAGAAAGACACACAATACAAGAGGGTATTTGATCCAAAGTTTTAGAATATTTATTTATGTAATTTTACTCCCAAGTTACTTCATTGAATTACACAAGCACCAAAGTATGTCATTGGCATAGCTTGTTAGTTTACAAGAAGGCTGCAGCACCACAAGTAGACTCAGTCCTATTACGGTTTTCACATGTTTGATTTGACAAAGTAGAAAATACAGTACACAAGTGTAGTGTATGAAGAAAACTTGCTGTACAGTGAAATACGATATGGATCTGACCTCAGAATCTGCCAGTTTCAAAACTAAGTGTGCTGAAGTTAGTATTTAATGGCCAGAATAATTGGTCCTTGACTTTCCAAGTGCGTTTTATAGCGGTTCAATCACCCAAAAACTCACTAAACTGTACCATGTGTTACAACAGAACAACAATTAACAGTAAATACTGTGAAATATTTCAGTTCACAATGTTGTTCTGTGACTTAACACTGCTAGGGGCCAGTTGAATCAGGTTTAATTTAAGTCTTTTCACTGCATAATAATTATGTAATCAGAGAGATTTAAAAAAACAATCATCTTGTTGCATAAGAGATTAGTTGTGGTGTTATAACTATGGATCAAGTCTTTCTATCGTATGGAGAACCCCACACAAAATCGCCTGCCAAGAAGTGCTCTTGGAGCAGCGCATACACAAAAAGGATGTGGTACATGTTCTCCACCAAAGATTAATTAAAACATTCATTATAAAACACAGATTAAACTTTTAACATGTAAATTGTTTTTATAATTTAATGTTTACATGTCTATTCTTTACCTTCCCTAATAATCATACATGATTTGAGTCTCAAATAAATGACTTACAAGTTTAGGAGGAAATAGCTTTTCTTATAAATATAGAGGTACAGGTAAACATTTATAACAGAGAGTGTTGTGAATGCAAAAGGCAGTTATAATATAAAATCATAATACTATCATTATACTGAATATGTAATCAATAGCATACATGCATCTATGAAATCTTAGATATCTGAACTGAAACATGAAGGGCTTTTGAGGGTTACAGATGACTGCTGCTGGTCAAGAAAAGTGGATGCTAGTCCTGACTGTTCTTAATACTCCTGCTGGCCCTCAATCAGGTTCACTTTGTCTGAAAGCTCATCAAGTGGACAGACAGTCAAGGAAAATCTGAAATGATTACCACTTCACCAAGGGCACTGGGCAATGATAAAATTATGCAGCTATAACTTATTGTAATTAAAAGTTCAAACAAGCCAAACAGATTATTGCAGCCGCCCAAGCTACTGCAGTTGTCTGACGTTTGAACACAAAATGTAAAGCAGATATTCTTCATATGAAATTCATTACGTGGATCCTTCACTGTTGGAATCAAAAGGATATGTTTTCTGCTCAGTTCTTGAATGGATGACTTCACTTTATTCTGGAACACAATCTGAGCTTCACACATGCAGGCATCAAGGTTTAGTTCACTCCTCACTTCCTCTGAAAAAATGAGAAACAAATATTGATAAAGTCAAAGCATGATAGTGGTGTTTCACAATGTTTAGAGTAGCCTCTTTGCAAAACGTCTTTTGGCTACACAGCAGGAAAAAAGTAACACAACTCATGGGCTGTTTCTCTTTATGTATCAATGGCAGCAGCCAACATTTTTTTGAAACCCTCAAAGAGTTGATGATGTTTTATATGAGCCTTTTTTCCTAATGTGCTTGAAACTAACAAAAATTGATGTTACGAGGTGTTGTTTTAAGTGGAGGCATAGGGGATATTGATTGAACAATTTAGTAAGAGGTTAGGTTCAATCATGGTTTTTCATCAGTGAATGAATTTAGAAAATATTTTGAAAATGATTTAATCACTTCAACTAGTGAATCACAAACCAAGAATATTCATTCACAAAAGTCAGGTGCGATTAGCTTTAAATGGGATTTAAAGCCACATGTTAATCATTTAAACAATATACTCACATACATGTATAATACAAAAGCACTGAAAAAGAAACAGGTAAATCAATTACAACCACTTTTCAATCCTTTACTTTCAGCAGTTTTCAGCGAGCTCACACCATAACTTCCAATGCCTTAGTAATCTCTCATTCCTTACACCAGCACAGCACACATTTATGATCTATAAGCTGTGCTGTAAATGGTTGGACCAGCAGAAGTCTTGTAATGCTTGTTGTTGGACACTTATAGACTTCTCCACAGCTGAGGAATGCAAACAGAAAGACATAAAAAGTATGAAAATTAAATTTACACATTGTAACCCAAGTCAGCCTTACAGGACTGACCATGTGCACTAAAATGTATGTGTGAACACAAACAACAAGGAAGTTGTTGGGGTAAGGCTGGGGGAAAACCATATCCAGCACCTGGACAATCAGCATAGGGATGTGTGCTATCCCTGCTGCTGTTTTCCCTCTACACCAATGATTGCACCTCAGAGGACCCCTCGGTTAAACTCCTGAAGTTCACAGACAATACAACAGTCTTCAGTCTCATCTGAGATGGTGACGAGTCAGCCTGCAGACAAGAGGTTGTACACAGCTGGTCCTGTGGTGTGGTCACAACAACCCGGAGCTGAACATGCTCAAAACAGTGGAGATGACAGTGGACTTCAGGAAGAACCCCTTCGCCATACTCAGCAGCATTGAATCAGCAGTAGAATCCTTCAAGTTCCTGGGCTCAACAGTCTCCAGGGACCTGAAGTGAATGTCCAACATCAGCATCATCACCAAGAGGGCACAGCAGAGGATGTACCTCCTGCGCTAGCTTAGGAAGTTCTATCTGCCCCAGGAGCTGCTGATACAGTTCTACAGAGGAATCACTGATTCTGTTCTGTGCTCATCCCTCACTGTCTGGTTTGGCTCAGCAACCAAAGAAAACAGGAACAGACTCCAGCAAACAGTCCAGCCTGCCCACCATGGAGGATCTGTACACCTCACGGGTCAAAAGGAGGGCAGAGAAGATTTCTGCAGCCTCCTCACACCCTGGACACAAACTGTTTGAACTCCTCCCCTTTGGACGCCGCCACAGGTCACTGTACGCCAAAACAACCAGACACAAAGACAGTTTCTTCCCCCGGGCCATCACTCTGATGAACACCTAACCCACGACTGTATAACAAAACGATAACCCTCAAAGCAATACTTGAAAATGTGGAGGCTAACTATTTGCTAAATCAGAGTAATATGAGTATAGATTAACAGGGCTACATATCTGTGGTCCTTGGCCACATAATAAGGGTTACAATCCTTCATCCTAAGGCAATCGTGTGCCTTTCCAATGACATTAGACCCCTTTGGGGAACCCACTCCAACTACTGTACGATGGGTTGGTGCCCAGGCAAAAGTAACAATAAGGATGGAGTTTCCTGCTGCCATGGCATCAGTATAAGAGTGATGAGATTAACTGATATTCTTCACCTCTAGGTCTAGATTTGTGTTATAAATTGCAACAGAAAAGTGTCAAAGTCACAGTGGCTCTGTATGCAACCAAATGAGGTTTCATACAAAAGGTTAGACTCATCCTAGTTTTCTGACCACATAAATACACATTTCAGTACTACTGTACTTGGTGTAGAAAAATAATAATTTCAGCCTCTGGCCAGCTGTTGAAGCCTCAGTTGATTATAGGTGATTGGAGGACTCATGGAAACCACGTCAATGTACTGAATCTCACATCTCAGTGCCACTTTGGCACATGTGCTCAGTCAGACTGAGCACAATATTTGCTGCATTACATGACACTGATTTGAAGCTAACAGTTTGATGAATCCTGGACTAAGCAACTTATAAAACAGAACAATGTAGGTCAGTACATAGTCACCAAATGTTGAAAAAAAAAAAACAGATTCTTACGTGAACATGTTTTCAGGTCTCTATTCAACACGTATCCCATTCGACACTCGCAGTTGTAAGAATCACCATTGTTGATGCATGTGTGCTGGCAGTCATGTCCCTGGGCACATGCATTCAAAGCTGAACCTGAAAAGAAAAGTTGACACCTTAGCAACTTAGTCTTATGACATCAAAAATAATCACTGGGATTTTTGGAGTTAGAAGTGGATCTCACAGTGGTGTGATCCATACATTTCAACATGCCCAGTCTCCCATATCTTAATAACACTGGCCAAAGTTTTGTTCTAAACTGATTTGAGCAGCATTATGGAAACATTTACATTTATTTAAAAATAATAGATACATGTACACAAGGCAAACTGTTTCACCACCCCCTACTGGCCAGGTAGAGGCTTTAAATTTGTGATGAACCAGTTCTGTTGAGACACTTCCAAAGTGGTGCTTTGTATAATACAGGTGCTTACGTGAGCATATTGTGCATTCAACACATATCCCACCAGACACTTGAAGATATACGAGTCATCACTGTTGACACAAATATGCTGGCAATCATATCCATGGACACATGCTTCTGAACACTTCCATATCTGACTGACTTAGTCCATCAGTTAAGGAGCTGTTGGTCCATTTCTCCATTTCTTTCAAAACAGCACACTGAGGTTGTTTAGTTGAACTGAAGGACTGAGCTAAACTTCCCAAACCAATTCAATCAACTGGTTCAGCCAATGTCTTTTTGTTTATCAGTCCAGAAACTAACAGTGAGATCCTGGGAAAAATCCATTAGAAAGGTTTAGGTTCTTACGTGAGCATGTTTTCTGGTCTGCATTCAACACATATCCTTCTCGACATTTGCAGATGTATGAGTCATCAGTGCTGACACAAACATGCTGGCAGTCATGTCCCTGGGCACATGAATCTGAACCTGAAGAGAAACACTCCCACATCTGACTACATCCATGTAAGAGCCCTTGATCAGTAACAGAACCCACAGTATGATGGGGCATTACAGTCAAGCATTTACAGTAATGTATTCTTACGTGAACATGTTTTCTGGTCTGCATTCAACACATATCCCTCATGACACATGCAAAGGTAAGAATTGCCACTCTTGACACAGATTTGCTGGCAGCCATGCTCCTGGAGACATGCATCTGAGGCTGAAAAGAGACACTTCCTAAGCTGACATCCACAGCTCACTCAGTCACACCATCACTGATGACATACCAAATGTAGCTGAAGAATGGCCAAAATTAATTAACAATGTATAAAGGCCATTAAAGGTATTCCTTTTTCTGCATTTACTCAAGACCACAGAGATGTATAAGTCCAAGTTCTTACGTGAGCATGTTTTCTGGTCTGTATTCAACACAAATCCCACTCGACACTTGCAGATGTATGAGTCATCATTGTTTATACACATGTGCTGACAATCGTGTCCATGGGCACATGGACCAGAACCTGAAAAGAGACATGTCCACATGTGATATGACATCTGATGACATCATTCAATCAGGGATTGGAATGTTGGAGCCTGTCTGGCTATTAGCCTTTTTACAATTGATGCTATCTGCCTCCCAAGAGTCCAGCTTGCTCAGGCTAACTTGGATCCCTGGCAGTCATGTTCATCAGCCAGGTATCCAAGCAACACTTTTGGAGCTTGTAATGGGCCACCAATTTCCATTCCAGCTATAGTTTTATGACTGGTAATGTACTTCCTATACCAGTGTATGCATCACCCATGTCAGTCCTTACTGATCATAATAAAAATACATCAATAAATTTACAAATAAACAAATTCACCATTAACCTTATATTAAAATACCTTACTAGTTCTTTCTGTAAAACACATATATCACAAAAATCCTGTACAAATTAGCTTTTGTAGCTTTTGCTCAAGTACCTCAATTACTGGAAATGGGCTGGACGCCTGACACTTTGCACCAGGATATGCATATCAATTACAGTATATAAGTAAAATTCAGATTCTTACGTGAACATGTTTTCTGGTCTGCATTCAACACATATCCCTCATGACACATGCAAAGGTAAGAATTGCCATTTTTTGAGTGGCCAAAATTAATTAACAATGTATAAAGGCCATTAAAGGTATTCCTTTTTCTGCATTTACTCAAGACCACAGAGATGTATAAGTCCAAGTTCTTACGTGAGCATGTTTTCTGGTCTGCATTCAACACATATCCTTCTCGACATTTGCAGATGTATGAGTCATCAGTGCTGACACAAACATGCTGGCAGTCATGTCCCTGGGCACATGAATCTGAACCTGAAAAGGAAAACTCTCATATGGTAACTAATTCAGTCTAATTAAACTAGACAAGACACTTTGGGTCAGGACATGTCTATCAGATACAACATATATTGAAGAGGTGAAATTCAGATTCTTACGTGAACATGTTTTCTGGTCTGGATTCAACACATATCCCACATGACACATGCAAAGGTAAGAATCGCCATTTTTGACACAGATATGCTGGCAGTCATGTCCTTGGTCACATGCATCCACACCTGAAAAAAGACACTCCCACAGATAACTTCCTGGGTGAAGTGCATGAGTAGTAAAAATGAATTAAAAATGTAACTTCCATTCACACATGCTATATTCTTTTTTCTGCTTTCAATCAAGAACATTAACTGTGGTTAATCACACAATAGGCTATATGTATATTAAATGCTGATGTAGACACTTGACAAAAACATGCACTCCAAACCTACTGAAACAATAAAGGTGCTTACGTGAGCATGTTTTCTGGTCAGCATTCAACACATATCCCTCGTGACACATATAGGCTTAAGAATCATCATATTTGACACAAATATGCTGATACAAGTACAAGTATCCAAATCTGTAGAGAGACACGTCAACATGTAACTGACTGCAGCTGACCTCATTAACCAGTCGTAGTACACTACTGCCTACTCCATAAAAACAGTCACAAGAGCCGACCTGTGCCTGACCCTAATAAAGATTCAAGCTGAACTGAACATTCACTTTCTGCTGTTCAGAATAACCCAGATCCAACCACCACAACTGAAGCTAAAGTCAGTATGGAAGTGCCTGAAGGGCCACTTTCTATAGGGGCTCCAACCTAAAGACTGTGAAAACCCCAACTTGATTGTTGTGATAAAAAAATCATCTCACCAGTTCCCAAGTCAGGTTATTTGCGTAAACTTTGTTTTAGTACATAATAATAGCATCTTACTAAACACAATTTGTGTTAAATCTGTGCCAGGTCTGCTAGAATGTTGGCAGTCCTCTCCCTGGGAATGTGTATCTAAGCCTGAAACGCTAAACTCCCATATCGGAATGACATGAAGCTTTTATTGTGGAGTTTCTGATTGGCAGTTGTTACTTTTGAAATACTCAGTCATATGATAAACATACATGTGGAACAGGCCAAAAATCAAACAGCAAATCTAGAGACATTTGCGTTCTTACGTGAGCATGTTTTCTGGTCTGTATTCAACACAAATCCCACTCGACATTTGCAGGTGTATGAGTCACCACTGTTGACACATATGTGCTGGCAATCATGGCCCCAGGCACACGCATTTGACGCTGAAAAGAAACATGCCTGTATTTACCAATGTAGTCTTGAGTCTGGGGAAAACAGTCAAAACAGACTTTGTGCACCCTTTACTGTTTTATGAGTTAGACAAATCAACACTTAGGAAAAATGTTGTCAAAATGCAACTTGTAGCCATGTTCTGCTTTTCCAACCAAACAAACTGGGATTTTGGATGCTGATCCACTGGCCAAAATAAATAAATAAATAAATTGAATAAAGATCCTTACGTGAGCATGTTTTCTTGTCTGGATTCAAGACGTAGCCTGAGTGACACTTGCAGCTGTATGAGTAGCCAGTGTTGACACAGATGTGCTGGCAACTGTGTCCCTGAGCACATGCATCCAAACCTGAAAAGAAACACTGTAATGTCTGATTGGCTTAAGTCGAGTTAAGTGATAATTTTGTGTCATAGGAATATTAGTAAGTTGTAAGTATGTGTTAATTGTTCAAGTTTTATTCTACACAGCAGCCACATGCTGATTAGTTGGCTTGACCTTTGTGCTTCAACTTCACTGATGCTATTGTGATTTTGCTGGTTCAAGTCTTGATTTTTTGTGAAGGCAGCGATATAATCATTTGTCACTTTGAAATGTTAACTGTTACATTGGCTTTTGAATTTAGGTCTCCTGAAAAACTACCTACTTCACGTTCAAGCAGAAAGTTCCATGCAGTAGAGACCATGCGAATGCAAAATCTACTGAAGGCAACTGCCTTTCATAACAACCTCATGTCCTCAGTGGTAAAGTCGCTCTTACTGAAACACAGGTTGAACACACTCTTCAGGTTCAAGCTGTAATTCAACAGCAAGCTTTTTCATCTGAGTGACTTGAACCTAGTCATGACTTTTAATATAATGTGCAAAAAGGAGAATGTTGCATGACTAACATGTATAACATTGGCAGTAAATATTGACATTTTAAAGTCCATTTTTGTTTGAGGAAAATTTTCCCTTCCCTCTTAATACATTTTGTATCTTCCTTATCTATAGAAAAAGGCCAAGCTACAGATGCATGCTTGGTAGTGGGTGGAGCAATGGCTGAAGCCGTGGCTGGAGCTGTGACCGTGATTATAGTTATTGCTAGGCTATTATAAACATAACAGTTACATAATGCAAGGTAACACAAAATTAGGATTAGGAGGGAATGCAAAAGTAGTTCAGTGACTTTTTAGGGACTCTGTGCAAAGTGATTTAGGAATGATACTGTACTTTGAACCCGTCATACTTAATTGTTTTTATGAATACTATACGGAATAACTACAATAAATGTGCAAAAGCAGAAAATATTTTAATGCTTTATGCCATCAGTCACCTTTTCCAAATTTGGAAACATCTAAAAGTTATTAATTCCATGAAATGCAGTGCTTTTTTAAAATAGAATTGTTGTCATCATGAGGTTGCATGCAATTTTGTAGACAGCAGGAAGTCACTGCACCAAGCCAAGAAATACATGACCGCTGTAAAACAACAAATCTGTTTGTTGTACAGATTAGATTCAGATAATAACATAGATATAATGGGCTAAATACTAAACTTTAAATATGCTGGTAGGCAGAATGTGTTCGCTTCAGACAGAGCGCGATTAGTTGTTTCCCCATTTACTGTTTTTGTGCTGCTAGAAAATCACTGTTTTCCATTGCTTTTTCTTTTAACTAGTATATTTAAAAAATAACTGATAGCTGCATTCAGAGCCTAAGTTGAGCAATTATAAAAATTAACATTATCTTAAAATTTTTTAAAAACCTAACATTTTCCATTCAAATATATTTTATTCAAATTTAGTACAAGCTCATTTTGTCTTTGCCTTGCAGGGTTAAGTGGCCGTTAATGGTAGCAGAAGCCCAAATGATGGATATGGGCAGCTACTGTAAGTACACTTTCAGGTAACTGAGCAGGGCGCACGGCACGTGGCACAAAATGCAGTGCAGAGTGCAAAGAGCATCGAGCTCCCTGTGAAAAGTAAAGGCAGCATCATATTAGGTTTCAACCATTTTAAAGTATTCCTGTGTGAGAATTTCACTCAGTGATCAGAGGTTTCTCTTCTTCTTTAGGTTGGTTAGTGGTTAACTTACTTGTATAGGTTTAATGCTGAGTGCATTAATACTACACTACATTTTCACCATTTACATGGCAACATTTAGTAAACACCAATCCCAACATAGCAAGTGGCTGTAAATCACTTGTTACCTTACCCTTTTTCTTAAGACCAAAGAAGAGGACAATTTACTTTAGAATGGAGATTCCCTCTATGGTGCTGCCCATGTAATCACAGGTAAATTTAAAAAGATGACGGTCTGACATACCGTTGTTTCCTTTATCGTCATTTTCGCTATTCATTCCATTAACGTCTTTCCTGCCATCTAGGTCTAGTCCATAATTATCAACTCCACCATTTACTGGAATATCCGCACTCCTGTTATCGTCACCCTTACCACACAAGGTTTCCCTAAATTTGGAAATGAGCTTCTCTATGACACCATAGGTCTCCACGTAGAAGACATGGTCCTCATGTGGCTGGCTGGCCATAAGGCGGAGGGACATCATATCAGCTCTGTCTACTCCCACTGCATAGATCTCAATCCCAGATGCACGAGCTGCTGCTGATACACTCTCCACCTGGTCCTGGGGCCTCCCGTCCGTCACTATGATGGCCACTTTGGCAATGTTCATAGTGCTCGCTCGGGCCCCTGCCTCCACAGTGAATGCTTTCTCCATGGCACTCTTAACAGCCAGGCCTGTCATGGTGCCTGAGGCAAGGGGCTCGACACGGGCCAGTGCCTGCTTCAGGGCAGACTTGTCAAAATATGTTTTGAGTAGAAACTCAATCTTTACTGTGCTGGCATAATTGACGAGGCCTACTCGTGTGGCGTCAGCCCCTATCTCCAAGCTGTCCACCATGTCTTGCAGGAACTCCTTGGCCTTCTCAAACTCAGAAGGACGTACACTGCGGGAGCTATCTATGATGAAGACCAGGTCTATAGGGCGATTTTTGCAGTTGGATCTTGTCACTGCAAAAAAATAAAAGGAAATAAATAGATTTTAAAGTGTATTTTTCAATGTTTTGAACTGAAGTTACTGCTACAGCTCTTAATAGTGCAAAAGGAATTCTCCTGATCTTTTCCTATAGTGTATGCTTTCTGCATTTACACTGTTAATTTGCTCTTTCAGTGGTTACATGCATAGTCAGGGCAATGGTGGCTACAGAGATACCACATGGAGCCCACGAGAATTATAGCTGCTTAGCATAGCTAATGTGTGTTTCTGATGCTGCTGTAGACTGTTCAAAGGGAATACAACACAGCCCAGTGATGCAGTCATTTTCTGTACACATGTAACAAAGACATTTCCAAAACACTGTGATTTCCACCTTCTATCACAGTGAATTAAACATAAATACTGAGACAGCATAGAATACTTACTATTATCAGTACAAAAAAAGGCACACCTCCCCCCTGTCACTTGTATCACATATGAATGGAACAATAGAAAGTTGCTGACCTTTTCTCATTTGTCAGTTTATTTGTTTAAGAGAGGTGTTGATTCAACTGCATGATCAGTTTGTGCTGTTGTACTACATTATACAGAGAGGCGATCCTGCCATTTAGCGTAGCCTCACTAATAAAAATGGGGTAAAAAAAACACCTGCTAGTAGATATTAAAGACAAATGAATGATAATCAGGCCTTGTGATGTGACTGGTTCCTCAAAAACTAGAGTTACAAGATTAAATCCCTGAAAATGTCATGACAAATGTTCCTAACAGCACCCCAGAATGCCACGATTTCCTTCCGACTCAGTGCTGATCACATTCTGGCACTGGAGGGCACTATGAGAAAAGTAGGCAATGTACCTTTAAGCTTGCTTTTATAACACAACACTAATCTTTTCTAAATGGCATGGCTCAGTATTACTGTAAGTAGTAATTAAAGGTCACTGAGACTGATCAAATAATATGGAAAAATACAGCATGTTAGGGGGCTATGGTGGCTTTTGATTTCAGTGATCTGTGAAACTTATATGTGTGCCTGGAAAGACAATCCACAACTCCACATCTGTCCCTTGGCAGTTCAATAAGGATGTGTTACTTATGGCTACCTGCAGCAGTTCTGATCGATGCAGGAGAGCCACTTGAATCTTTAGCACGCTGCCGAGATGCAAATGGTGCAGCACCGTGCTGCAGCTGTGGGACCGTCCGCCTTTTCTGATGCAGCTGGTGATGGGAGGGCTGATAGTGATAAAACCTGGAATTAGTGCCTCCAGCTTTGGCAAGGGAAAAGGAAAAAAACAGAGGAGAAAACAGAGCAGCAGATACTTTGGTTTAAGGCAAGTAAAATGAGGTGCAACATGACAGGCATACATTAATGTTTATTAGTTTAAATAATCATTTCCATGTGAATGTCACATGGAACTGTCTGCACTACAAAGTTTAAGGCTGTTGCCGAAGACATATACACCATATATACTTGATATTTTAGTGATCTGCACATTTACTGATGTAATCATATTGTCTAATTTAAAATATACTGCATATAATTAACAATGTATATTTACATTACATTCAAGTCACAAAGTTAACAACCATCTTACCTACAAATGAATAACAAATGAGCTTTGAATAGTCCAGGTGGTCATTAAACAACACTATATGTCCCCTAAAGAATTTAGATGATTTAAATAATCAAAACTTTTTATTATCATTGGTGTATATTGGTGCAACATTGTATTATATCTCCATACAGGTTAACATCTTCGTATTTTCTGTCTGGTACAAAGTCACCAAGAAGAATTGAACTAGACAGGAAATATTCCTGCAGCTTGAGAAACAAGTTAGGAATCTTGCAGCATATTTTTTTTAAAATCCAGATGTGTAGATGATTCATTGGTTGACACTGTTAATACTTTAAACAGCTGCAAGATAGTAGGCTAACTACTCTGAAAACAAACACAGCCTACTTGAATACATAACATGAAGCACCTGCACTATGTTTGTTACCTGTCCGGGCATTCTCCTCCTGCTGCTGGAAGCCGTGGAAGGTGTAATCATCCAGCTGGAGCTCTTGGATCATTTCAGCACTTGGCACTTCTTCAGAGGTGTGTTCCATAGATGTGATGTCTTCAAAGCGCTGATAGAACCTTGGAGTGACTTGCAGGGACACTTGTGGGATTGAAGGACTAACTGAGACAATTTGACGTTTCTGTGATGGAAGCTGGGAAGTTCCCTGTATTCCTGTCACCAGAATGGGAATGACACAGACCAGTCGCCACAATGATGAAGTCATGTTGCCTGCATGCAGTTTGCCCTGCTTCTCTGGGTGCCCTCTTGGTCTGCACCACCAGAACAGCATTCAGCCTATTTATGTGATCTGGTCCACAGCCCACAAGGCGTGAGGACTGAGAGACCCAACCCAGAGAGAGCTGGAGGTAATGAAGGCTGGCACTGCCTTCGAAAAAGTCCGACGAAAACCGAATCGTACGAAAACTGAAGCAACATTTCCCATAAGAAATAATGTAAATCCAATTAATCCGTTCCAGACACCCAACAATATCAACAAAAAATACATTTTTTAGAGAACAACTATATTTATAGAGAATAACTATATTTTTACATACAGAAAACAATGAGAAATAAATATAAATGACTAATGAAATGGATAAATGAACATTTAACATCACTTTTAACTTTACTGAAGACTCTTGTTGGCGTATGGAAGACGGCGAGGAGGGGAGAGGGAGGAGGAGACGTTATTGTTTGGAAGGGGACTCCCCCTCCATAAGGACTTCATGTATCAAGGCCCTATCGGGGGTTACTTCCCTTCACTCATTTCTTCAGGGAAACGAGTGGCCGAGTCACGCGAGCAGGAGGATGAGTTTGGTACGGACTAATG